TGCGCATATGCGCAGAAAAACATGCCAGTGATGGGAGAAGAGACTGGAGAACCAATTAAGGGGTATGGCAGGCCTGGGTCGCTGCTGGTTCCAGCGACCCAGGGCTGCCAAACCCTATTGGTAGGAACCAGTAGGAACCCACCACTGCACTGACTATGTTAAGAATATCCAACATAGCTATTTTCTTTTGTGTGTTGAATAACTGTTGCTGTGGTACCAATAGATGAGAAAGTTGGTCTTTGGCATGCTTATTCTTCAATAAAGTTGATGTAAACATTTCTAAAAAATAATTACATTGGATCTGTTGAAGGCTTTGGAAGAATAATTTCATATGTTCTAACAAATAAGTATTTGTTGATAATACTTCAGCTGCTTTTAAGTATATGCATATTTATTTGGCATATTTAACCCATCTTTTTTTCCAGAAACCTCAAGATGGCATGTGATCTCCTCTATTTTTATCTCTATAATTACAGTCTTGTGAAGTAAGTTTGGCTGAGAATCTTCATCCAAGTCAACCAGTGACCTTTGTTAACAAGTAGAGGCATAAACCTGAGTCTTTTCAGTCCAAGTCAAATATTATAGTCATGCCATAAGATGAAGAGGAATACTGCAGCATAATGAAATATATTTAGATATTGGACGTTTATTTTAGAGATCTCTCAGCAACAAAATGGACAGTTTATGGATCTATTAATAATAAATAAATATGGAAATACTTCTAGACCAGGGAGCAAAACATAATCCTGAGTGAGCTTCTCTGAAAGCTGCTGGAGAACTGAAAATTTTAATGTCACAAAAAGAGGAAATGATTACATAGAAGATTAATATTTAATTAAAGTGTATTTATATGTAATAAACTTGAGTTTTTCTTTGTTAATGTACTGACTTTTAAGAGTTCAGCCTTTAACATTTCACTTAAAGACAAGTATAGCCCTTGGCTAAAATAACATTGCCTATTTCTGCTTTAAATAGTATCATCGAGTCATTAATAGGTAGCCTCAATTGTGTTTGAATAAAGAACATGGGCCAAATCCATGTTGTTGCCATTGGTTATAACCCATTGAAATCAGTAGGACAAATTAGTTGCAATGATCTATGGCCCATTAATTTTACTGGAATTTTAGTGTGATGTTTTTCTAGGGAGCCTGGATATTCTAGAATCATTGAACCATTGTTATGTAAAATAATATCAATGAGAAACTTTATATCACTTTAACAACAAATTATTATTTTTATACGTAATAGCCAAGTCTTCAAAACATGCATGGCAATATGTAACTTTCTGATTCCCCCATGAGTTGACAAAAATGGAACTTGCTTAAAAATCATCAAGCATTAGGCATGCTGATTGAGAAAGTAGGAATTGTAATCTTGAGCTCATTAGTTTATGGAAGGCTGAGCTCCTGGTTTGTTTTAAATTGTTTCTCTGTAGAACTGACTTATTGGTATTTTTTTGTTTAAAAATAACAGATGCTGATGTACTGGGATTAACAGATCCAAGGTTGTGCTACATTCTGGATGGGGTCCTTTTAGCATATGCTATCATCATCACAGCCCTTTTCATGAAAGAAAAGGTAAGATTTTTTTCAGAGAGATTTATTTATTTATTTATTTTTACATACACACAGCCAGACGAGAAGAACCTGAAGTAAAAAAGATCCCTGTGACCATAATTCTTTTGATTGTATGTTTGAACATTGATGTAAACTTTAAAAGTGGAAATTGAGATTTCTCTGTGAAATCAACTTTCACCGCAACAGTTCTGCAATACTGCAATGTCCTCATACAACTAGTATAGAACGATTATCCTTCTGTATCTTAGCCCAGAGTTCAATACCCAGTCAAAAGAATTATG